AGCATAGCCGGGGTGCGTTCCCACGTCTTTAAACTCCTATGTCCTCCTCTGAAACAAGCGTCCAGTGGCAGGAAACGCCATGAAAGGATAAGAATGTGGCAACTCCTTCAGACAGGGAGTCAATGTCCATTCTGGCATTTCCTCCACAATGGTTTGTTTGGAGAGGCTGCGCGGCCGACCGACCCCGTAGGTCGTGACCAAGCCATTATGTCGCTATTTCCATTGCTGCCCCTCTCGGGAAAGGCGGCAGTAAGTTACTCGTCTGCCAACTTGCCTCGTGATTCTCTCTTGAGTGAAACCGGTTAAAGGAACAGTGCGTCAGCAAGTGCAATGACTTTAGCGACCGTGTGTCGCTAAAGTCATTGCACGACGTGGCTGGTGCCATGGTGGGTGGTCCCATTTGAGTGACTGCTTTTTCCAATCAAAAAGGAGCAGCCTGATTGAGGGTTAAAAACGACGAAGCAAACTGCCAGAAGTTGCCCGGAACCTTGGTTTAATGTTTATCAACCTCGCTCGTGGCTCGTCAAATTCGAACCTGTTGATGTTGTAAATAGTTGTACAAAGCGCCAGTAAGTTTATTTGTTTTCATTTTCCCCAACTTAGCATCGTTTCCTTCACCCAGAGATGCTCCGTGGTACCACAGGAGTTTGGGCCCTTTGACTTAACCTTGACGTCTCGGCAGCCCATGTCAGCAGGGACACGTTAGAACCCTGATCCGCAACAGTATCTAAATGTTCATTCTCGTCATCGAAGCCCATCGCTAGCAGGGGCGGATCCAGCCACCCATTTTAGGGGAGGTCTTTTGAATCAACACCGGAAAGGGGGGCGTGGTCATTACCTTTTTATTTCTACTAGCACAAAAACCCTGTAATGACAAATTCTGTTACTGTGTGCTCACAGTGGTCCCACTCATTTGTGCTAACTGGTGATAGCAGATGGATGGCAAGCACTGAAGAAAGAGAAAGGGGGTGCTGACAGGCTTTGGAAGGGACGGGGCGATCGCCCCTAATACCCCCCTTGATCCGCCACTGATCACTAGCGCATCCCACACTGGCGTGGCCCTACAGAAAAGGCAGCGAAAGTTGTACAGTAAAAGCTCATTAACTTGGATCTCATGGGACTGGAGAAAATGTCAGAGTTAATCGAATGCCGAATGATCAAACAGACCATGAAAACAAAAGGAAAACGTACACGACACAGACAAACCTTTATTTTTTAAAAAAGTGCGTTATTTTTGCCTGCCTCGCAGTTGAAATTTCTGACAGAACGATCTTATTTAATCTCATCAGGTGGTGGTGCGCATGTTCACTGTCGCGAGCACAAACGCAGAACCCCTCGAGGACAGCGAGGGCTTCGGCAGCCTCCTGCACGGTGCGGCGACGTCGCGTCGGCTCATCAGGTCTTTCAATATCATAACCTTTCTTTCAAAATTATTTGCTGGCTGCTGTGGCCGCTTAACTCCTGTGACGGTCGCCATGAAGCACGACGGCGGCGACAACACGCACAAACACAGCCGCAACACGCGAAGTCACAACACAAAGAACCAAAACAGGAAGTAGTACACCAGTAGGCCTAGCCTGGGCGTAGCGAGCAGCTGTTAGTAAACACTGGATGCGCCGGTGGCCCGAGCGCTTCCGCCGGGTGGTGACTAGCACCACCTAGCCACTTCCCCTTCATTCACTATCATCATCGTCATCTTCTGCTGCAGTTCGCTCGGTTTCGGTTTCTCCAAAACTACGGTTCTGCCGTCGGTTACGGCAAGCGGTGCTTGAGCCTCCAAGCCGCCGAGATCGCGTGACTCTGGAGTACCGATAGCCCTCTCCGGAGTTGTCCGAGATAACCGGTGAGCGGCTAAATCGCTCTGAATGGATAATCATTTGACCTCATTGAAATACACACAGTGTTGCCGGGACCGCGCCGCGAGTCCGAGTTAACCGAATTTCCGAGTTAACGAGGTCCAGATAAACGAGCTTTTACTGTAGTGACGTCACACCAGTGTGGTGAGTGACCTACAGCATCACGGCTGCTGCAGCTGGCGGTACGTTTGTTTTGCAGGTGCTTGTGGGGCACGTGCGTGCGAGAGCAGATGATACTCAGTAACAACGTACACCACAGCTTTGTGTGGTCATGTGACCGAGCCACCTATACTGCTACGTCACTGCCCAACTGGGCATCCAGAAACCAAAACCCAAAGATGTCCAAATAAGTGTGGCGATATTGAATTATTGAGCAATATTACATGATAATACATCTAGGTGCTTATAATACTAGCACCTGGTCAACCTCCCTGCCTTACTTTTTTCTCGTTTCTCTCTCTTGTTGCGTGTATCATGCTTCTTGGAGCTGTAAAAAATGCTTGCAGTGAAGAACACGCAAGCCACAAATATGGTGGCACCACCCTGTTAATGTGCACTGACATCGCACCATACACAGGCCTATACCATTTCACTTCCATCAAACCGCCACTGTCATGGCTGGTATGCAATCCGTCACCTTCGGGTCCGTAGCCGAGCGCCATGATAGATCAGTAGCAAGTTAGTGCTTTTCTTTCATTTCCTTGCAGTAAATGAAGCTCGTGACTTTTTTCTTTTTACAAGGAAGAAGCAAATGGCTCAGCAACACCTTCTGTTGATCAGAAATGCTGCCATTTTCTTGTTGCCCCCCTAAAGAATTATGGACAGATTTAGCTCACATTGTTATCCACACACTTCTGACCAGTGCATATACTCTGATCTACCTAGCTAACAACTGGTAATTAGATATGACAAGAAAGTGTCTTGGAAGCTGTGCACTAAAGGCACACTAGAGCGAAACAAGAGATTGATTTAGATTGATAAATTGTACTCTGATAACTCCAATGGTGTCGATTTGATGATCACAGGTTCATTGATATAGGAGATAATCAAGGTCAGTTCTATTCTTAGTATTTACACCGAAATATCCACGTGTGCCCTCACGAACGGCACGTTAAGTCCAAGCTCTCCTAGAAGACAACGTACAATTTTGCTGATCAGGAATTACCATATTTACTGTAATGTAAGAAAAGCTTTTTTCAGAAATTTGCTTCATGTAGACAGATACAACTTGAAAAGTTAGGGGAAGCCCCGCCTAGACGACTGAAGTGTGGTAGACGATCACCTGAGCGACTCAAGAAATAGTGCCACTACAGCTCTTGGAAACATTCTGTGCAGAGGGGCCAATGGCCGTCTAGCTCATGACGTGAGTCTGGAGTACAAGCCCAACGGTGCAGGCTTGTGGGCAGCCGACTTTGAGGGGGAAATGCCGCTGGCTTCTAAAGCTGTAACTGACTACAGAGTCAAATTTCGCCTTGCAATTGAATACTGAAATTCTATTTTTTCTTTATGAATGTGACCGAAAGCCACCCGTCAGGTTATTGTGCTGGTCACATTAGAGTTGCTAACAATAATTGTCTGAGTGTAACGTCTCAAAACAACAATATAATAGGCGCGCGCATCACAAGTGAGTTAATACAGTATGTAGGACACAATAGCTGCCGTTGTCACCTACACTTTCTTCTCGAACGATTTCTTGCTTACAAAGTATCATTGCGCTGAAAACACGGCAACTTTAAAATTGGGAAAGAGTTATTAGGCAATATAAAAAAAAACATTTTTTTCCTTTGTGTCCCTTCAGGCATAATTGGGTACCCTGAACTCCACAGACTGCATGCTCTCTTTCGCAAATTTTTTTTTAGCATATCTTCACAATACGTTTTCCCAGGTTTTGCATTTTTTGGCCCACAGCCCAGCAAAGAATCTACAGACGCCTCCTTTTTCACCTGTACCTGCTTGGCGAGTTGCAAACTTGTACTATAATTTCAAGAGGAGTATTGTTTGTAGCTTTTGAGAGATGGAAATTATATAGAAACCCGGACCTGACACTTTAGCCAGAAACTTAGCATACGTAAACCACAAAGGTATAGCCATTGAGATTTGCTTCTGCTCCAACTGCTAAGTGCTGCCGTGGCTAGAGTTTTTACTTGGGACACTAACCTTCCAGGCTTTGAGGAAGAGTATAGATCAAGAGCAGGAGCTGATCAAAGACTCCCTGAAATGATAAAGAGATAAATAAGTTATACTGAGGTGAAGTGCTGTGCCATGCATGTTTTATGACTTAGCAGCACTTTTTTTCTGATTAAAACGGCATGCTCGTGTTATACATTTAGAATTTGAGATTATTTCATTGTGTTTCTTGAAAAACAAATACCAGTTCTGCTGTAAAGTTTTCTCGCCAGTGGTGGAAGGTAGCGATGAAAGCTAGAACGCTGCTCTTGCTTAGCAGCGTGAACCGTGCACTGTGCAACAACGCCAGCTCAGCTTCGTAACTTTTCCAGTCAAACACACACCTAAACGCGCTTATGTTCCATCAGTACCGTGACACAGTGGAGCAAACATGTGCAGTGCGTTCGTAACTTGCTACAGCAGTAACAAGAAAAAAAGTCATGGTACAGCATCAGTTTGGTAGATTGCAAATATAGCTTCCTTGTTTTGCAGCCACTTATGAAACAGCTTACAGAAAACTGCAGGAACATTGCTACCCCTAAGTCAATAGTAGTCAGTCATTTACAAGCTAAATGCACTCATTGCACAACAATAATTGTTGCCTAGCAAGCTTGCATTCCATTTCTCGAAAGCAATGAGACAGTAGACAATTACTGATAACAATGCTCCATGCAGGATGCAAGTGTCTTGTGAAAGTAGCAGTGGACACTTGTTCAGTGGACTTAAGTGTCATTGTGTCAAAATCACGAAAAATATTTCTGCCACCCGAAACACACATCCAAGCGGCAATAATAGCTCTGATTCAGTGTTTCTAGCAGGGCTGTCTTGAACACAGTTATCTTGCACAAAGCTTGTTAACATCACTAAACCGCACACAACTGTCATAAATGTAGGCCTAGCACCCCTTAGCGACGAGCTTCGTGGTGTGCAATAAGTACCGCACTTTGCAGTGCAGCAAAGGCAAGGATACGAAAAGACGACATGCTTCAAGCGCTGTATTTTGGGCATCAAAATATATGTACAACATGCGACAAGTTCATTGTTAAACACGACTGAATGTTCCATTGAAGAAAAAACAAATCGTGAATCACACTTACGCAAGTTGCAGCACAAAATGCCTTATGTCCATATGTGTTCAGTCTTGGCTACCTTCGAGGACAATGGCCTCAAAGGACTGCAGTCTGCCAATCGTCAGATCCTACCAATCACATGTCGGCTCGCTTCCTTCCTCGCTTTGTCCTGTGCCGTCACCATCGTACTTTGCACCTAACGGGCTCCCGAAGTCAACGTCGAACACTTTACACAGACACGAGAAACAGAGTGTAAGAGTTTTCAACAGTATTGCCCATAGGCCTAAACGTTTGTCTAAATAATGCCACAATGAGAATGCCGAGCATGACATAGCGAAATTTGTTGGACGGTGATTCGGCTGGCTGCGAATTGGCTTGGCCCTAGGCGTGACTTTGGTCATGCAGATGAAGCTTCCAGACTGGACTAAATCTGTCACGTTAAATACTTCGAAGTTTAACAACACAAATAGGCAAAGAAAAGCATACGATTAAACTAATGCACAGGTAACCTAGATTCTTTCTGTCATTACTGCCAACTATGGTTGCTCAGCAGCCCAGCTTATGCTCGGTACCGCATTAAAATGCTTGTACTGCATCATTAGCAAGCACAGGACAAGTGCTTGTGTTGTGATGAAAAGCATTTCTCCATTAAAAACCTCTGTATTATACAATCCATTCCTATACAACGAAAATAGAACTCTCAAAACGGATTTACAATAGCTTGACGTATGAAGAGCAACAATCTAGGACCGCAATTACCTCCGATTCTTTTGAATGGAATGGCATTGTATTATAGAACAACTTTTGCACCTGGGCAATACTGAAAAACTCCTACACGATGGTGGTCGATGTAAAATAGATGCTGCACAGCTCTTGGGTGACAGAAGATTCTCTACACGGTGAACTTCACCACTTGCTGCAGTGACGATATGCGCCGGAGCTGACGTCGAACGGAGCCGTGCCACATTGTGGCTTGGCGAAGACGCGCACTTGCACAGGTGCGCACACATCAACTGCACGCACAAACACAGCAGTAGCCTTGCCACGTGACTACCAATCCACTGCTTCAAGCCTTGCGGTGTGCGTAGTACATCTCGAGGGGCTTGTTGACCTTCCAGTACTTTTCGTTCACCTGGTCGAGCGTCATGTTGCCCGGCAGAGGAGTGAACTGGCCGGGTGTGACGGCGATGTAAATGGTAAACGGTGCTACACTGCGGGGAGCTGAGGCGTCCTGCTCGAACTTGTCCAGGGCCAGGCGCATCGCCAGGTACTTCGAGAGGTGGTCCACTGCGTATGCAAAAAAGGCCACCAGTTATGACCATTAATATTTCTTAAGCCCTTTCCCTACTAGGCTAAAATTAAAACTAAGTTGCCTTTAAAAAACAGAGAGAGAGAGAGAGAGAGATATACGGGCCTGCGGGCAACACTGGGCCCAGTCACAGCGTAACTTGCCTTTCTAGAGATCACTGGGATCTCTCCAAGGGTGACTACTGCAAGTACAGTTACACGATACACACTACGGGTGTGTAACCCAATATGTCCACCTTCGAAGCGGCACAAGTGATGGATGCTCAGGCTGATGATGATAAAAAACTATGACTGATCCTTTTATAACAGGCGCGGAGAATTACACCACCCCCTCATAGTGCAATTCACATCGTGTGATGCATGGCGTTGTTCCACCCTTCCGACACACAGCATTCAAATTCGCTAGGGCACATACATTGTCGTGCTAGTTAGCGATTGTAATTCACATGGCGTGGTGCATCACAACAGAGACAGAGAAGAGGGACACTATGTATGTGTCCTCCTCTGTCCCTGTAGTGATGCATTTCACTATATTAATTATGAATACAGAAAAGGCTTGCTAATTAGAGCTCTATTAAGGGGGCAGACTGGTCTTTGGAGCCAAAAAGTGAAAAAAAAAAATTCATTTTTTAAAATTGACATATTTGGTTTCTGCAAGTTTTTTATATATCTCTGCAAACTTTTAAACACCAGGAAGTGGTAATTTTTTGTAATGTCATTCTAACTGTCCAGATTCTTGGTACTGCTAACATGCAGAACTTGGAAAAAAAAAAAGGAGAAACGACTTCAAAGCTCCTTTATAATTTGCCGGAAAATGTGTTAGAAGCTCTGCTACGAATTTATGAGCACCTTTATGAGAATTGCAAAACATGCACACCACGATTGTTGCTTTTTGAAGAAGCTGTGAGTTTTCAGTTCTTTTCCATTTTTCTAATAAAAGTAAATCTACGACAGTTCAGTTTAGAGGCCTCAATATCTCGGCAGAGGCCTCAATATCTCGGCAGCTAGGGCTGGTACAACAATAACTTTTTGCATTGGAAACCTGTGTGCGTGTAGAATGCAAGTATTGGAGCAGAATTTAGAGCCCAAGCCTCTTTAATTAATTAGTAATCAAAATTTTAACACAATTCAAACTGCTTTTGAAAATGGATATTTAATTTTGCTGTAAAATACCCAGAAAGGCCTAAAAAAAAATGTTGCATACTTTCAATCTGTAGTCATTAGTATATGTCGGCATATCTTAAGTATCACTTTTAATTAAGCACTTTTTTTCTATGGCGACCTTAAACAATAGGGGTGAACTTAAGTTACTCAGGAACAAGATGAGTTACAGAAAAAATAAATATTTGAATTCAAAAAAAAAAAAAAAAACTGCATAATCCTGTGCAGTTTGACCAAGATCACTGAAGAAATAAACAGAAAAATGTCTAAGACTAGCCTGCCCTTGAAACTTACAGTTCATTCGAACTGATGCCCTGGTCCCGGCGCAGCCCAACGTATTTCTAATGGGGAAAACTACCGGTCATTTGAACAAGGTAATATATACAAGAAAGCTTGATTCGAACTAGAAGCCCCCTGGCTTTTCACCCCATCTTGCAGAAATCTGCCCTGAGTGGTCACCCATATTACTACTTACTTTCGTCTGCACAAAAAAGAAGTGCCATGACTGATTTCCACATGTGCTTTTATAGTTGTAAATGTTGTCTGCCTGTCTGCTGCTGCTGGCTCTGTATAGGTGGAAAGGCCAAGTCAAGCAATGTTCCCCTTGAACGATTTCAATAAACTAAGAAGACTTAAAATTTTGATTGTGTTAACTCTGCCATGTAAATGAACATGTTTCGGAGCACAAATAGCTTTGTTTATTTTGGCATTAAGGCCCACTGCTTATGTGAAAGCAAGACTCTGCTTCTTTTTGATTTATGATTGACTGATCAATACATCCTATTTGCTGTTAGAGCATGAAATTAATTTCTAAAATTAGCTGCCACAAACACACAGTACTGCTTAATTTATGAGAATGAGTCCAGAGGTGGCTTCTACGGGTCCTCCCCGCACAGTGTGGCCTAATGTCAGTTAATTCTAGTGCCTGCTCGCTAATTCAAACTCCACTGAATTCAAACAATTTTACAGTCCTGTCTGAGTTCAAATTAACGAGCTTTTACTGTATTCGATTTGTTAACGTGATTCCCTGCCCGACTGGACGCCAGCTATAATCTTTTCGTGAGGCAGTTTCGAGCATCAGAGTGCCTCTGGGGCAGAATACTCTACCCCTACGTAAAGTTTGTGGGCTCAAACCCTACATGGAACCTATCTTTCTTTTTCTCACTGTAGAATGGCTGTGACAGACACAGGCAGAGGACAACTATGTCAGCGAAACTACCTGTTGTGAGCTCATAACATCGTATGCTGTAAAATAAAGTAAAAGAAGAGAAGAAAAAAAGAGGTCAGTAAAAAAGGAGGTTCCTTCATTTCTCTTCTATAGGAATCACTGAGAAGACGAAAGTGACCAATAGAAGAACTACCAGCAAAGATATACAATCTGCTATTGCTTGCATGCGCATTGCAATATAGGTGTACTGCCACTGGGCAGCCATGACAGACTTCAATGAGCATGCAGCTGTGTTGACATGCACTACCACACTACCACTGTGCATTTTGGTTAGACTCTGCAGTGGGTCCGGTATGTTGCAACCAGGAGAACTAAACTAAAATTGATGGGAGTGGAAGCTCCTGCAATGCCTTGCCAGCTAAAGTGAAGCCAGCTTTTACCCACCATAGATCTCGGAAAAATCAAGTTGCTTTGATCTGTTAGTGTACAATTTCTCAGTGCTCAAAATTGACATAATGAAACATTAATTAGCACTATATTCCTAGTGTGACATTTTATTCTGTGTATGCCAAAAGTATGTATAAATGACTCAAAGGTAAGGACATATTTTATTAGAAGTTAATTAAGATGAGTTGTTAAAACACATGTATATTAAGTTATTGCATTATTCTTGTAACAATAAAATATTGAGTGCCTTGAAGTAAATTTATAGCGATTTCACGCAATTACAAACAGTTTTTTTCATGGGTGGCGTCTGAAACGGTTGAACGAAAGTTGTTCTGATCAAATAACACATAGAGACGAGTATCAGCGACCTAATCTCCAATAATATTTGCACAGAATTCAAGGCTTACTGAAGAAAACTAGCAACACATAGACACTATTCTAGCACTATCTGACCCGAAGAAGTTGCCACATTAATAAACTCATTGGGCCTGGAAGGTAAACGCTCTATTTCAATCACTGAACGCTGACAGTTATCATGCCCTTAGTAAAATGGCGGCCACAGCCGTCGTCTTTTTAGTGGGTACAGCTTCACTCTGAGGCAATAATTTCCATTCCAGGAATATTTCTTAATCCTCTTTGGTTGCAATGAGCTCATATTCAAGGAGGCAAGAGACACACTTTGCAATGTGCACCTTGAATGTACGAGCATGCTTCCTGCTTGCACACAAAATCCATAGGCATAAACTAGAATAAGCTAATACCACGAGGGCTCTTGAAATTGTAAAGCGCTGTCACTGTCCCTAGAACATTGACTGTAAAATTCTTTTTTACCGATAAAAATGAACAAAGACTGAGGAGATATCACAAAAAATACGTTTGGCGGAATTTCGCACCCTCAATAAGAAAGCTTTTGGCCTTCACTTTGAGCGATTTTGGCATCGTAGCTTTCGTTTCTACTTTGTACTTAACGGGACATGGCTTGTGGGCACCTAAAAGTTTTATAGGATCAGTGTTTCATTTGCAGTTTAGATTTATGCCATGAGTACGAGCTGAATGTTAAGTGCTATGAATACACTTATTTAGTTTACCAGAATAATATCTCATGATCTCATGAGGACCTCTGCATGATCTATGCTCGTTCCGTGGCTATTTTCACACTTTGCCCGTCAGAATAGCCTTGACCAATTTCGTGCGGCTCCCTCTCGTTCCGTCCCTCCTTCGTTGTGTGTCAAAACGCTAACGAAATAGGCCCTCTGACAACAATGTCTGCGTGTGTTCTTGTGGTATAGTCGAAACCACTCACAACGGTTGCAGGTATAATGATAATATTTCGGTGCACTAATGACGTTCCTATGCTACCCATAGAAACTGCGTCCACATATAGTGAAAATTTTTCAGAGCTTCATACTTTTACAATGAAGACTTCGGACATGGTTGCAGTAAAAATATGGCACATACAAAATAATAAAAAAAGAGAAAACAGGCATTTTGAAGCATGCAATAAGTGCGTGCTCGCATGCGCCTTGCTGCAGTTTGCTTGCAACGAAGATATCATAGACCGTGGCGAGCATTGAAAAAAGATTTTGGACACTGGAAGCAAAGTCGCTCGCTTTCCAGGAATTGCTTTATCGGCAGAATGAAAGTGAAGAAAAAAAGAAAAGAAATAGTCAGCCTTTGCTTTTCAAGCGTCTCCAATGCCGTTCTTGGCATCTACGATAGCCTACGATTAACCAAACAAGTTCGAACGCAAGAAACCATAAATGCGAGAAGCGATAACTTTGTCACATAAGTTCACTGCAATGTTCAACTAGCTGACACCACAATGTGCCGCAAAAGGTTTTCCACCTTTCGGCAGAGGCCGATCGATCATTGATGACAACTTTTGCATGGTTGCGGTGGCGCCTCAATGATAAGCAAGAGAAAAGAGCCAAGGCGAGGTGGCCAGTGATGTGCCATTTTGACTCATTGCTGACAACCTTATTGAAAAGTTATCACAGTCATTTGCATATATTTGCTTGGTTGCGCGTGTTGAAACTGCGTGGAGTGACGGCGGAACAAGCGCGTCATGTCGCCGTTAGCAAGTTTGCCGCGTCATGCAAGGCTACTTGCGTGCATTGCTTGCAAAATACGTCTTCGTTGCGTGAACAAACAAGCTGCCCAATGCACCCAAAAATGTTTTGGAGTAAAACATGCATGAAGAAAGCACAAATGCACACATACATTAGACAGCAAAGAACCCGGCATGCGATGACAAAAGCAGAGTAGAGGACATGCTGCACACAAATGGCCAGAAATGATTGGTTTGATGTGACAGTATTGCACCGCAGTGGAATGGCGCAAGTTTATTGCGTAGGTGGTTCAATTCACACGTGAGCAAGAGGGTGTCACTTGACACGCAAAAAAGCAAACCTTGTCAGTGGAGGAGTTGTTGGCACTTTTTGACAAAAAATACCCAGAAAAAGAAAAAAAAATGGTTTGGGCGCTACGTGTACGTGTTTATGGGCGAGTTCATATACAATGAATTACTGATATAATGACCACTTATGGCAGCACTTTCGAGTTCGTTATAAATGGTTTGGGCTGTGTATATAAGTTGTGCTTCAGAATATGTGCACTTGATCCAATATATTTAGTTGTGAGGCAGCACTGCTGTTGGTGTCCCTTTTTTTCTGTCTTGACTCGATACATGCTGAATACACTCAAGTGCGTAACTACACCCAAATAACTGAAGTGTCACCTCTTCTGCAATAAAGGTAAGTAGCACATTTATTACTTTGATGGATCAAGTAGGTAAGTGACAGAGCAAAGTAGGCGAAGAACTAATTTATTAGTAAGTAATCAGTGGTTACACTAATTAATAAGCACAGTTACCAACCACACAAGTCATGTGCAAATCACAGTGTTGTAGTCATACAAAGCAACCATAGACTAAAATTGAGAGACGAAATTTACAAACTATATCTTGAAAGGTATGATTGAACTTAATTTTTTAGAGTAAAACATAATGAGCAAGCAGACGAGTACAGCAGTTGGATTACGTGTTGCACAAATTCGCGGACTCACCAGTCGCATTCGCCGTGGTCTTGATGTAGCGGACCTGGGCGCTGGAGTCCTCCAGCATCATCTGCGGCTGAGGCTTGAACACAAGCTCAATCTCGCTGTTGAGGGCGGCGTCCCCATCCTCGGCGTCTGTCTCCTCGGTCTCCCCTCCAGCGGACTCCGTGTCGTTGGAGCAGGTCGCGGCCTGAGGGGCAAACTCACACGGCTCGTACTTGCGGGCACTTTCGCAAGTGCTCGCTAAGACACGTGAGAGCACTCCGTCAACAATCAATCCGCCACTCAAATACATAAGGTAGTCATTAATCTTTGTCATCAACTTCATGCAGTGCCGTGAAGGCCAGGAGTCAGGCTAGAGAGGTGCGACACAGAACCAGAATGGCTTTTACACTGTCCATTATTTACTGCCCTGTACTTGATGATGGGTGGTAATTACACACATTTATTTGAGAAGGCCATAAACAAAGCAATGAATTGTGCTGTGCATTAAAGGCCAGCTTGAATGGTGACGAAAGCACATTCTATTTGCGGTTCATTACTTGGGCTGTTCACGATGCCCAGCCCCGATAATGGCACATGATTGTTATGTTTGGTGATGAAGATGACACTGCTGAATGATTGCCGAAAAACAATCAGTGACTTTGCTGTTGGAAAACACCACTGAGCACCGAGCAGGGCAATTATTTAGTGATGAGTCAACTGGCTAAGGCGCTTCGGTTTCCTAATTGTGTTTCAGGGGTCCCTTTCAGGTTTAATCTGACTATATATAGTGCTCTGAAAGTTGCCAGCTTTTCCCGGCACGTGGCTCTTGTTTAATTAGCACAGACATTTTTCAAGGACTCCTCTGACCTCTGAATCTGGCTAATTGGTGTTTATTCAAGGATCCGGGAGTTCCTCTGCCACACACACCGTTGATCCTTTTTTTTTTTTTATACTACAGCCCGACTACAATCAAACCCTTTTATAAGAGACAATAATGGAAGAGACGAATATGTACAAGAGATGCCAGTTTGCTCACTTTGAGAGGGGTTGATAAGAAAATGCACACGTGGTAGCCTGCATATAAGAGACACCTCCTCAAGGGACAAGGATTGCTCCCCCGTGCATGCCTCTTATGAAGGGGTTCCACTGTAGTACACAGCAGCAAAAGCCATGAATGTCTCACCATTCAAGTGGTGTCTGCATGGCACAATGTTTATGTTTACCTAAACTATACCTCATTTATACGTGCACGTTTGGTGAAGCCGGGGGCAAATTGATCGGAGGTTCAATTTTGTATGGGTGTATACAGGCATATACGGAGACATAAAAATGCATAAAGTATGGTTAATCCCTCCACTCACCGGAGAACATTTACGGCTATGCCTCTAGTGTGCCTTGTGGAAGAAGTCCACATTTATGCGACATGAACGATGTACACTGCAGCATAAGGTATCAATTACCTCCACGCAAATGTAGTCCCGACTCGGAGACAGATGCTGTCAAATCGCTGTTGTGACGCTGTTGACCAAATAAAACAAAACACGCGAAAAGTGATTACATGCTACGGAGGCAATCAATCTATAGCCTGTTTTGGCTTTTATTGGGTTTGCACCATATGATGCCAATGGGGATGCGAACTGCACGGCAAACCATGCATTGCCATGAAGCCAACCTCTGCTTCCGGATTATTCGCATATAACCCGCACCCCCACTTTTCAGGCGATCTTATTTCAATTTTTTATGCGGGTTATGTACGAGAAAATACAGTATATGACTGTATTGAAATAGCGAATGCTCTCTCATACTTTTGACGGAAATGATACAAGAGTTCGTTTCCTAGGGCAAGAGGAAGAGTAAAAGCTAGAGTGAACAGTAATGGCAACTGCATCGGTTTGGAAGCATTTGCTGACGGGCTAGCCGGTGCATGGCTGAAGTTAATGGCTTAAATGCATGGACATTTGCGGCACTCGCATCCTCTGTTCTTTATCCCTATCTGAGCATTGCACTTCTGGATGGACCTCACAATCCTCAACGTAATTTCGATACCACATAGCTCACAGTGTAGTGGAGCATACGCACCAACGCGTATGCGCCTTCGGAAGACAACGAAAAGCCCGTGCTCTGCTTGCGCGAGAGTTTGTGCCGCTTCTGCCAGACTTGCCGTACGCCCACTTTCCGTTGCGACCTCGCTGCGACTTCTCGGCTCGAATAAACGTCATCACATTTGGTGGAGGCTGCTGAGATCCCCAAGCAGACCTGGAGCTCCGCTCTCGCAAGTTGCCTGAAAGACTACCGCGAAACATGACTGACGCAGTCGCCAACCAGCCCGTCCCAGCCCAGCCAGCACCATCGGCTGCCCCGTCTACCTGCCCCGGCGCTACTCGCCAGCGGGACCCACCAATCTTCAGCGGAAGTGGTGAGCAAGACATCGAAGACTGGCTCTCCTTGTACGAACGCGTAAGCGCCAACAACAAGTGGGACGACGACTCTAAGCTCGCCTACGTTATCTTTTACTTGGCAGACGTAGCTAAGCTTTGGTTTACCAACCGCGAAACCGCCATCGCCAACTGGTCCTCCTTTAAGACCCTCGTAACTGAAGCGTTCGGCCGACCAGAAATCCGCAAGCTCCGCGCTGACCAGCGTCTGCGCCACAGAGCCCAGCAGCCTGGCGAAACGTTTACGAGTTACATTGAGGATGTGCTCGACCTCTGCAGGCGTGTTAACCCATCTATGTCCGAAGAAGAGAAAATTCGGCAGATTCTCAAGGGCATTGAGAATGGCGCATTCCAGATGTTGCTAGCGAAAAGCCCGACCTCGGTGGCAATCCCCGTAAGCCTGTGCCAGAGCTTCGATGAATTACGCCGTCAGCGTTCCATCGCCCGACAGAGTGTCTCACCACCGGATTCGATCTCGGATGTCGCACTCGCAAATGCCAACGTTCGCCAAGAAAGTCTGTCTAACCAGATAAAAGACTTCATCAGGGAGGAAGTCACCCGACAGCTCTCCCTGCTGCCGCATACCTGCTCTCCCTGCTGCCGCGCCCACCGCAAGTCTGCCTTCGACACTGCAGCAGGCCATCCGCACTCAAATTTGCGATGTCCTACCTACAGTGCAGGCCCCTTACGCATGCACTTCAGCAGCATCTAATCTCTCAGCTGTCAGCTACGCACCACCTGCACCATCTTCACCTCTTGGTTGCGCGGCCCCCACCGCATCCAGTATCCTTATCGGCTCCACCTCCTCCGGCAGCGCCTCCTGTTTACAGGCCCTCACTTCGCTTTTTCCGTCCATCAAATGAGTGGCGCACCCATGACAATCGTCCTATCTGCTTCGCGTGTGGCATCGCTGGCCACATTGCACGCTACTGCCGCCGCTGTCCCACACCTGCGTACGCCTCCTTTGGAACTCCTACCTATGCGTCGCAGCAGGCCACCACGTCTGCATACGAACAGAGGCACTCTGACTCGGATCGTCGCCCATCAACTTCTCGTTTCCCATCTCCTCGTCTTTTTTTTTTTGTTGATATGATATATAAGGAGATGTTGGCGCACCATTATGGCGCCGGCTACTCCTTAGCCGTTAATTGAAACTTGAACACGTATCTTGAAGCAAAACATACAAAGCAGTGCATGGAAAATAGAAAACTCAGGCACAGATATGCAAAGACACGCTTATACGTACATATCACAATGGTAAGTAAATGTTTGAAAGTCATTGTAAGAAGTCTCTGGAAACAACAAAACACAAACAACAAACACAAAACACAACAACAAAACAATAAAGCACACGTCTGGTCCTTATAAAGATGCATTCGCTCGTATGTACATAATAGTCGACACGTCATTTATTTCACAACACACACGTGATGGGTGTCACATGATACTGTATATAATAAGTACATGTGTTACAAATGAAAGCTTGTTCTTTGTTAATACTTGTCAGCAATCCCGCTGTCTTGTAAAAAACGTGTTAATGCTTTTAAAGCGTGGGACTGTAAAACTCCAGTTGGCCACGGGCCCAGAAGTTTTTTCATGCTAAATTCCAATGCGAACAGTTCACTTTTAAGACGGCGTCTTGGCGTGTCATGATGTGGACAGTCTATGAGAAGGTGACATACGTCTTCATCTATAAATCCACAATCGCATTTGGGAGTTTCAGCTCTGCCGATTCTGTGCAAAAAATGTTTTGTGTATGCGGTGCCTAGCCTCAATCGGTGAATTAGAGTTTCCATCCTTCTATCTAATGCCAGCGTAATTTTGAATTCAATAAATGGATCGATGTGGTATAAATCGCAGCTCTTTGTACTTTGGTCAAACCAAGCAGTTTTGCTCATCCCCATCTCCTCGTCGCCGATCGCCATCTCTTAAGCGTCGTAGACCACCTCCTGAGGAGGGAAACTAATCAGTGCAGTTCCAGAGGCAGGAACTGCAACTTCTGCGCAATTATCAAGGCCTCCATTTTCGCCGCAATATGTTGTTGATGTCAATGTTGAGGGAGTCGCCACACAAGTGTTAATTGATACTGGGGCCGCCGTTTCTGTGATGAATGCAAAATTTTGTCGCAAACTGAAGAAAGTGACTACATCTCTCTGTGGCATCCTGCTGTCCACGGCTAGCGCGCAACGCATTCATCCCTCGGCTGTGTGTACGGCGCGCGTCGTTATCCAAGACGTTTTGTACATCGTCCACTTTTTGTACTACCATATTGCTCTCATGACCTCATCCTGGGTTGGGATTTCTTATCAGGTCATGAAGCTATCATCGATTGTTGCCGTGCGGAAGTGTCCCTAGTGCCAAGTTGTGAATTTCCATCGCCCGACCATTCACCACTGCTCTGCAAACTCATCGCTGACGACGACATCACCTTGCCTCCGGAAGCTTCAGACCCTATTAGCCTTTCATGTGTGGCGTAACCTGACGCCACGGTGGTGTTTACGCCATCCCCTGTTTTTACTGAACTCAAGGACATCGTTCTCCCATTTGCCGTTCTTACAACTGCGTCTGGTTTAACCGTAATGCTGGTTACCAACCACTGCAACTACCCCATTGGCTTACTCCGTAGTGAAACCTTCGGATATGTAGAACCAGCCGACCTTATCGATGATATTATTCTTCCCGACGAATCCCCATGTCACATTGCCGCAATCACTCAGGCGTCTGAGCCATCAAGCTCGCCAGCCTTCGACAATGCTGTAGACGCATACCTTCCCCCCTCGCATCGCAGCCAACTTGTTGCTCTCCTTAACAAGTTTCGCTCTT